CAAAAGACATGAAATACATCTAAATGAATACATACAACAACAGTAGTAATCTTTTCATAAATATCTTCATAATCTCTTGGTACACATAGAATAAAATGATATTATGCAATTTGGGAAGCGAATAAGTGGAGTTAAATATTTTAATTTCCTTGATTAGTCAAAGCTGAAATTGCAATCTCTAGGTTAACCACTAAAAGAAGAGTAACTGAATAGAATATTCTCAGGAAAAAAGAGGAAGTAAAAAGGATTATTAAACTAGTCCTGAGAAGATAAGATGATTTTTTAAAATATGGACTGGGACAAATGGCTGCCTTTATGGCACAAAATGAAAGCGAAAAGAACCCAGACACTCGACTTCTGTAGAAACATCCATTTCAGGTCGACTGCAGCAGGAATGTAAAAGGAAGACCAATCACTCTTCTTGACGATAGTTTAGGAGACTGACTCCAAGCCCTCCGAGTAGATGAGAAGACAGGCGCTGAACACAAAGGGAAAGACTGACAAAACTGGGCTCCCCTGGTTGGAAGCTCCTTTAATTGAAAGAGACCCTGAAGAGAGTACAAATGTCCCCAACGGTGAGAAGATATCTGTAACATGGATAACCTATATAGAAAGAATTCTTACAATGAGTACAAATCCAAGAAAATCCAAGAAACAATCTAATTTTTTAAAATGGGCAGAGGACCAGAGCTGACACTGTGCAAAAGATGGCCAATAAAGATAGGGAGAGGGACTCGGCAATGTTACTCATCAGAATCACAGGAAATAGCAACACACATTAGATAATGGTAACATGGCAGATTATCTTCAGTATCTAGAGAAACGGAAACACCACAGGAGAATGACTTTCACAAACAGTTTGGGAGGCCCGGAGTGCAAACTCATTGTTCAGTTTGGGCTCACAATTTAGAAAGCAGGCCCTTATCTCCTTCAGGATCTGCAGACCTGACACTCCTTAGAGATCGCTATGTTTTTTGGCATCAATCTTCTGCCCTACGAGTTTCCCAGGGCAGAGAGCCCAGGTCCCCAAGAGGCTCTTTACTCCTCGCTCTTCTTTCTTTGTGGAAGTGGGTCCCTTTTCTTTTTCTTCTTTGCTTCTTTCTCCTTTTTATCTCTTGTAAGATAAGAAATAAAACAGATCACACTCCAGGGAAGCATCCTTCCATCAGATCAGGGTTGTGATTGTATTAAGGGAATTGCAGCTCACCCTTAATCCTTTGATTAGTTTATCACATCAGATCACTTTACTGCGGATCATTACATAGATGCCACGGCACATCATCACACCGAGAAGCGCGGCTCAGTCAACGTCACGCATACTTTTGCAGGAACTGATTCAGTCGATGACACAGAGGACACCAAGTGGTGGCAAGAATATAGAGCAGTGAAGAATGTCTCATACCCATAAATGTTGTTGGGAGAAGAAATTGTAAGGCACGTTGAAAAATAATTGGCATTATCTAATCACTTCTTGTATTGATTCCCAGTTTATACCCAGCTGAAATGTGCGTGCTTGTTTATAGTTGTTTGTACGATTCAATTTATCGAATGTTTAATAAAACACAGTGTTTAAGGAAACATGCTTAGATGGTAAAACTTTAAAGAAAAATCAAAAAGTAATTGCCAAACAGGATATTGTCTCTGGCAGAGGACAGAGCCTGCAGTTTTTGGAAGGTGCTAGGAAGGGTGTTTGGGGGAGTACACAACCCTAGTGATGATAAGGAATGTCTTTGTGATAAATGTTTTAACTGTACTTTCTCATTTTATGCCCATTTCTATATGTGTGCTAAATTTCACAATTACAAGCAAAGTAGTAGGCTGAATAAAGCAGTGCCTACTATGATGTTAAGATCAGATCCTACATATATGACTGGGACTATCTATGATAGGTTCACTCCCTGCTTATTGCATAAACAATATAGTCATCGGGTTGAAGTGATAAAAGATCACAAGTGGGAAATGGAAAAATGTCCCACTTTCTTATGCCTGTTTGACCTTGGCCAATTTCCAATTCCATGGAAATTTGAGAGCTTTAGAGGTACATTTGCCTATATGGGTCAGCTTTGATTTCACAGTCTTACTTCAGGGATGATCTTGAAAGATGTGCATTTTGTGAGAGCTTTAAACTGTTATTTATTTGCAAAACAGAGGGAGGGCTAGTGTGGTTTGTGGTTAACACAGATGCGAGAAAACCAGAGCAAACATTTTGAACAGCATTCTCAGAAATGTTCATTATGGCAAATCCTCAGGAGTATTTGCAAGAATTCTTTTAAGTTGAGGCAACCAAGCGCAGGACGCTTTCCTTATGTTGTGTCCATATAGCAGAAACAAAACCTACTCAGTCTTGGTGCTCTAGTACCAAATCTCTAAGCTCCAATATTTTTCAATAAATCTAAATTATATCATATATATGATGACAGTTACAATGGAAAGAAAGTTTTTTGTTGTTTGTTTTGTTTTTTTTTTTTACAAGAAGAACTAGGCTTCATAGGATTGTTGTTAGGTGCCAGCCAAGTTGTTTCAAGTCGCGGCGCCCACATACAACAACGAAACACTGTCTGGTCTTGCACCACCCTCACAAGTGTTACTGCACCCGAGTCCATAGTGGCCGCCATTGTGTCAATCCATCTTGGGGAGGGTCTTCTGCTCTTTTTGCTGACTCTCTCCTTTACCAAATAAGATGTCCTCTCCAAGGACATTTACCTCTTAGATGAATACAAAGTATGTGAGAGAAGAGTTTGCTCTCTTTCTTTCTAAGAGGCATGCTAGCTTCCCACGACAGAGTTATCTGTTCTTCTGGCTGTCTATGGTATATTCAATATTCTTTGCCAACAGCATAATTCAAAGGCATTGATTCTCCTTCAGTCTTCCTTATTAAATATCTAGGTTTCCCATTTTTATAAAGCAATCAAAAATACCTTGGTTTGGGTGAGCCATACCTGAGTTTTCAAAGTGATGTCTTTACTTTTTAGTATTTAAAAGATATCTTTTACAGCTGATGTGTTCAATGTAAAACATCTTTCCTTACTGCTGTTTCCATTGACTGTGGATCTAAGCAAAACAACTTCCTTGACAATGTCAACCATATATCATGATGGTGCTTATTGGTCTAATTGTGAAGATTCTTGGTTTTTTTTTTACATTGAGTTCTCATTCACACTGATGATTGTAATCTTTTATTTTTATCAGTAAGTGTGTCAATTCCTCTTCACAATAGCAAGCAAGGTTGTGACATCTGCATATCAAAAGTGTTAATGATTTTTCCTCCAACTATGACACTATATTCTTTATGTAAACCAGTTTCTCAGTTTAGTTGCTCAGTATACAGATTCAATAAATATGGTGAAAGGATACAACCCTGATGCATACCTCTCCTGCTTTTAAACCAGGCACTACCTCCTTGTTCTGTGTAATACTCTACCTCTATGTACAGGGACAGAGGGTGGCATCAGGTTGTGCAGGCATATGAGAGTACGCCGGTCATCTATATTGCTACCATAAATCCCAAATCAATATGTTTAGCTTAAAATTGATAAGATCAGGTTGGTTCTGATGGCACTTTACTAAAGGTCACCCCGCATGCCCACTTTATGCATAAGGTTTAATACAGCCCACATCTATTGGACATTCAACATGTGGACTTGCATATGTCTGTGTAGACAGATCTTGAGTGATAAGCGAGTTCAGTTCCTGACTGTGTCTTTAAGGATTTTCAGATACTCAGAACAGGTGCATAGGGCTCTTATTCAGATTTACTTTACTGCAAGAAAAGGCTGGTGATCTTTTCATCCACTTGGATGCTGCAGGTGCAACAAGGGAAGGTTTCATAAAGAACTGGTTGGGAGTAACCGTTGGGTCAATTGTTTCAAAGCAAGGGCAACTAGGAGCTTCCCGTGAATATGACATTTGTAACCTGTCATCAGCCTGCAATGGAAAATTCAGTCTCTTTGGGCATAATATATTTGAAGACATACTTGCAGGAACACACACAAATATAAGCCTTTGAAGAGATAGCGAGAAACACAAAGACACTCACACAGAGGTGTTTTTTAAATCTAAGCTTAGAAAGCTGGAGAAGCCTTTGGGTCGTCATTTATTCCATTCTGTTCTTTCTAGGAGGATCTTTTTTTCTCTCTCTCAGCATTCTATTGTCTATTTCCATTTAAAAACTCTCCAGTAAGAGCTAGCTTAAATGACCATTTTTCTTGATATAGGTGGAAAGCTTGAGAAACCCTATGTAACCCGGTGGGAATATAAATGAATTTTGGGGTGAGAGTGACAAGACCATTCGTATTCCCACAACGGATGACTTAGGCTAGGGTTCGATGCTGAATTCTCCATCCCCAGTGTCAGCGACACAAAGGCTAAGTTAGAGGACCAGAAGCTCATTCATGACTTCATTTGGAACTTATCAGTCTTGCCACTTATCCAAGTGGAGGAGGCGACCCCGGGAATAAACTACAGTGCTAGTTGTGTCCATGGATTGCCGGTCTCCCCGTGCCAAACTCTATGCTCAGCAATTCACAAACTCTCATCCTAGAGATAACCTTGTAAAGATGACCTTTTTTAAAAAAAGGAAGTGGAGGTTCAGAGAGGTTCAGCTACACCCTCAAGGTCATGGAAAATCAAAATGCCGTTTTACCCTGTGACAGGTATACAAACCCCTGCCTTTCCACAGGGAGATGAATGGCAATTTGGTCTCTGTAATTCTGACAAGTGTGCATTCGCTTTGAAAGACTCGGGTTGTTGTAAGTGTGACTATCTAGAGAGAACCAAAGGCTAAATCAGCACGCTCACAGATGGAAATGGTTTGTCTACAACTTGCATAGAAAATAAGTGTCTCTCCATGAGGAATCCAATAGCTAATTCTATGAATTCGTGAGGCAGAGCCTCCTTCCTGGTGGGCATTTTTCTTTGAAATGCTGGCAAAGGGGACTCCGGAAGGACAGGGCGGGGAGCTCTGCAGGGTGAGTGGACTGCAGTATACACCACGTTCCTACCTTATGATTGATTTTCAGAGTCTCTTCGGTGTGGTAGAGAAGGTACTTTTCCCCCGAGGACGTGAGATTCACGTACACCTGTAGGCAGGGGTACTGGGAGAGTTTCCAGCACTCTGGACCGCAGCTGAAGGAGCAATTAAATGTTTCTGTGATGGACGCATTCAGCAAGGTGCACTGAGATTCTTCTGTCCACACACTACAGAGAGAGAGGGGAGAGGAGACAGGTCCAAAGTGGGTAATGACAAGGAGGGTGTCGTCAGGGAGGTACAATTGTCAGCTTGTTAACCGGAAGAGTCCCTGGTTTCCACATCTCTAATATAATGCACAGCTATTTGGTTCTGTGTGTAAAGTCCATGTCCTTTTAGATCAGCGTTAGGCAAACTATAGTACAAGACAAATGTTGCTTGGTCCTTGAGAACTTTTTCAGTGGCTTCCATTGGCTATCGTGTAATATCTTCCAGTCTCTGGTTTAATTGAGATATATATCTCTAATTGAATCCATTGGCAAACCCAAGCAATTTTTTAAAAGCTTTACCTGCTGTCACCTTGTGTTTCTATTTTGTAAGCAGCTCCCTGCCATACCTATCTTCCTCTCTGCAAGGGTTGGCTTCATACTTTTCTTATCCCAACTAGTGTGTGGGCAGAGAAGGGGAGGGAAGATTGGTAAAGGGATGAAATGGTTTGAACATCAACTTTAAGGATGGAAGGAAAGAGGTATATTTTCTCAAGACTTTCTAGTAAGGAAGGGAAAGATAATGCCCCGTTTTGACTATAGCAGGAGCGCTGGGGCACAGTTTAGCATCTGCTGACCAAAATGTTGGTGGTTTGAACTTCCTACAGAGGCAGTTCTTCTGTGGGAGAAGTATGAGGTAGGCTATTTATATAAACACTTACAGCCTTTGCAACCACATGGAATGGTTCTACTCTGTCCTCTGGGGCCACTCTTGAGTAGGAATAGACTCAGTGCATTCAATTTTGGGTGGCTTGATTATACCAAGAGCTTGTTGCACATGTCTTTGCTCTGATCAGAGTATTATATACAGCACTATACACACGTGTGTGTATATATATATATATACATGTGTGTGTGTGTACATAAAACTCACTGCCATCAAGTCAGTTCTGACTCACAGCAACCCCGTAGGGAGGGGTAAAAATGGCCTTCTGGGTTTCCTAGACTGTAACTCTTCATGGGAGTAGAAAGCCTCCTCCTTATCCTGACGACCCTCTAAGTAGGGTATTAAGTCCCTTTACGTGTTGATGACCTTCCCAAGGTATGGGAACTAAAGGTCAGAGAAATCAAGTAGCAACCCAAGGACACACACTGGTAAGTGATTTCATGCAATCCTATATGTGTCAAAGGTCAGGCTCACCCCAGAAGCACCCTAGAAAAGAAACTCTTCTACACAGAGGAATGGTCAGTATCAATACCCTGGGACTTCTCAGCCAGAAAGGTACCAAGACATTTTCCAACTGTCCATCAGTCAGCTAGTCATCTTAAAATACTGTTATGATCAAGGACAACATTTGTGATTAGGATGTAACACATGTTTTGCTTCTGGGTGATTTTGCTAGGCTGGTGACCACAGTGATTGGAAAGTGTGCTTTCTGCGCAGATTCATATTGTTTCCTTCAGCTGAACATGCGTTGATAAGGCCCTCTCTTGAATGGGGAAAGTTTTAACTTCGAGGTGAGATATTTGAACAAACTACCGGTAGTTTGGCAAATGCTACTCTCCCAAGAAAGGGATGGTCCGATTTTGCTTATATGCCATGGTCCTAAGCAGATGTGAGGGTCTGGAGAGAAGGGGTTGGGGAAGCAGGGAACACTTGGGGCTGGAGGCATCAGTGCTGTCTCAGAGAAGCACAGCTGAGGGCCATCCTAGAAGCAGAGCAGGGCAGCCAGCCAGAAATGTGAACGACGATGCCTTACTTTTAGAGTATTGCTGTATTTCAGCAAGATTTTGCTTTTAAATGAAAGTATTCATTTCCATGGCAAAATGGGTTCTACAGAGTGGTGTAGTTCCCTTTCAGAGTGAAGCCTCAATTTTTCATTTGGCAGGGTGTTTTTAAATATCTAGGTATATATACGTACACACACATATATAATCATTTTATTGTGGTCTGGGTGAAAATTTATTGAGCAATTAGTTTTCTGTCCAATAATTTTGTTTCGTGACATTGGTTGCAATCCCCTCAATATAACAGCCGTGGGTTTGGGTCATTTGATTACACCAAGTGCAATCACTGAGGGCGCACTCCTTCCCTTTCCTTTAGTGTTTTACATATAATTCCTCCTGTGATCCTCCCAACAATCCTTTAAGTAGGACATTAGCTCTATTTCTGCCCACGGGTCCCCATTTCCATTGGTCTTCCTGTCTTTCTTCTTCTTGCTTTCCAAACATTCTTTTTGGGTAAAGGCTGTCATTTTGGTCTGATAGGATATTAATGCCAGGACCCTTCAATACAGTTCCTCATGTTGTGGTGACCCCACAACCATAAAATTAGTTTTGTTGCTACTTCATCACTGTCATTTTGCTACTGTTATGAAACGTAATGTAAATATCTGATATGCAGGATGTATTTTCATTGTTCCAAATTGAACGTACTTAAATCATAGTGATTCATCACAAAACAATATGCAATTATATATTGTGAAATATTCATTTCTAGTGACAAATACATGAAATTTTGTCTTGAAGCATGGTGTAGCATGGGGAACAGTCTTCATGGGGAACAGTCTTCATGCTGGGTCCTTGTATGTGATCGTATCTCCAGCCTGGAGACGGATGGAGAAGCGGTGTCTCGGTTCCCATGGTCTTATGCCACCCCTGTGAAAGGGTGATTCGACCCCCAAAGGTGGAGAACCACTGTATGAAGGAATACGTTCCTAACATTACAGTGTCTTTCTTCACTTCATAGGCTGATGGGTAATCCCCTGGGTGGGGTGTGTGTGGGTGTGTGCATTCAGTTCTGGGTTTGAAGTGGGTCTAAGGGCCATAGTCTGGAGGGTCCTGCCAATCGCTATCAGACTAGTAAATCCAGTCCTTTCTATGATTTTTAATTTTGTTTTATATCATTTGGAAGGGTCTTGTTGCTTTAAGCAGCAGAACCATTTTGTGACGTCCCCCACTGGCTATTCCCATGCTGGCTCTCGTGTGCTCACCACATCCACTTTATGACAACAGTTAGTTGATTGATCATGCGGCTAACTTGCTATTTCTTTTGTTCTTTTATGCGCTTGCACAGTAGTGTTTCTCAGCCTGGGTAGAGCATTAGAATGATCAGGGGGAGCTTTAATAGATGCTTCTCACTACGTTCCACCCATTTGTCTCCATTTGCCAGCTGAGTTGATCTCACACGCATGGGACCCTCTATGTCTCAGAATGTTCAATGAATAAATGTTGGAAACAGATTTCCAAGCACTCTTTTGAGGTGCCTCTGAGTGAACTTGAACTTCTAACATTTTGGTTAGCAGCCGAATATGTTGATCACTTCAACTATCCCGGGGCTCCTTCCAGGAGGGTGGAGGGGCGTGGGCATCAGTATCGTCCAATGTGCCACCGAGAACCACTGATGTGTACGGTGATGGACAGCTGAGCAGGTGGAGACGGCATGACTATGGAAGACAAACCAAGCAAACAAACCAAAATCAAGCAAGCAGGCAAACAACCCCAAACTCGATGGCCTCAAGTTAGAAGACAAACAGAAGAAGGAAGCTACTTGGCACGAACAGAGGCGTTGGCACGAGGTGGTTATGGGCTTGATTTTTATCGCTGGCACCTGCTACAACTGGGGTGATGCTGGGAAAATTATGTAGGTCTTTGGAGCCTCAGCTTTGATAACTTCAGAATGATATATTAACACGTACTTACCTTATAGAGTAGTTGTAAGAATTAAAGAAACGTACCAGGAGTCCTCACATAGTAGGCAGTTTATACATAGAGCTCTTTTAATCCTTAATAGCAGGTAACAATATTGAAATATTATTTTGGGGTAGGCACTGTCCTAGGTTATCATTAGGAAATAAGGAGAGGAAGCGGAACTCAGGGTTGATTAAACAATGGGGGAGGAAGGAGGAGGAGAGAAAACAGTAGTGTCCAGCCACCCAGCCAGCCACCCAGCGGTGTTACCTCTGCATATATGAGCGGAGGAGGGTGATTCCCAGCAGAAAGTACATCATGATGGAGCACACCATCATGGTCAGTCCTAGGAGAATGGCCCGGTCCTCTCCTGCTTTCAGTGCTGTGACTGTTTTCCTTTTGTCCAGGAGGTCGTGGTCCTTGATTTTTTGGTAAATATTTCTGAGGTTGAAAATAATACAGTCTTAGATGAAGTTCACAGTTAATCAGTCTGGCCCTAGGGAATGGATACGTCTTTGAAGACCTTCCTAAGAGAAGAAAGGCCTAGATGAGCCTTCTAAAGCACAACTGGATTCTGCAGAGCCTGTGTATAATCACTGCCTCCAAAATACACATGCACACGCACAGAGCACATGCATGCAGGTAAGCAGACACGTATACACATACGTAGACTAGCACACATTTGGCATCCTTGAGTACAACCAAGCCTTCCTTCGTTAGCTTGGGGCTCAGGTCTAACCATTAAATCATCATTTTCATTTAACCAAGTTCTAATGAAAATATCTCTTCAAAAGAAAGCGTTGGGCTTATTATCATTGTCATGTATCCCCAGCTGGCCAGCACTGATTTAAAAAAAAAATAAAGAACTCAAATAAATAGTAACATCCATTAGAAATCTATCAACCTAATGCCTTATTTCCCCTTCAGCAATAAGAGAATGGAGTCATTTTGGTTATTGTTTTTCTCAAGCTTGGAGATGCTCAGGGCTCTGTTGGCTTGAGATTTATAAAATATGAAGATGATGAACAGCGACTTGGAGTTCCTTTAGTATGTGTCAACACTTGAGTGAGTTTAGAAATGCATCAATCAAATCAGGGCCAGATCCCACAATTTTGGATAGTTTTGGAAGTAGTTTTTTGTGTGTGTGTGACATATTTCTGATCACTGCCAACATCAATTTTGATGGTTCAAACCCATCAACCACACCTTGGGAGAAAGATGAGGCTGTTGGCTCCAGTAAATATTGAGTCTCAGAAACCCTATATTGGATTGCCATGAGTCAGAATCCACTTGATGCCAGTGGATTGCACAAAACCTTTTAAAATGTAGGATAAAAAAGAACATAATGATATTATAGTATTATAACCAAATTGTCTATTGAGTTCAAAATTTGGTTTCATTATTCATCAGCTGCACAAGTTACTTAGTCTTTCTGAGGCCAAGTTTCCTGAAAATGGAAAATGTGCTTGTTTTGCTGCATTTTAGTGTTAAATGACATTCAAATTACCTAGGAGAATGACTGGCATGAGAGAAGTGAATAATAATTTTTCCTAGCCTCTTTCCAAAGGATCCCTAATGGTGCATGGTACTTGACTGTTAATTGAAAAGTCAGTGCTCTGGATCCCTAATGGTGCATGGTACTTGGCTGTTAATTGAAAAGTCAGGCACAGCATGGGAGTGAGATGTGGAAGTCCGCGTTCATAGAGTTTCACAACTCTGGGTAACTCTGGGTAACTATTCTGAACGGACTAGACGGCAGCAGGTTTTTGGTGTTCTCTATTCAACATGCAGTGGGAAGCTACAACCTAATGATATGGACATCAGGATGTTCTGAAATTGCAACTATTCCCCAAAGGCAGTTTCTGAAGGACAGGAAGGCAAGCGCATGAAAGCTGCTAATGCCTGGAAGTGAAGAAGTGGATTTGAAACAAAGTCTGAAAGGTTTTTGTGATTCAATCAATGTCCTTTCACGTCCCTCTTCATTTGCAGAAACTAAAAGAAGTCTCATGGGGTGAGGTCAACTGAGTAAGGTGCATGGGCAAGAGAGGCAGGCTGTTTTTCTGCCCCAAACTGGCACACTGAGAATGGCTGTGTGAGCAAGTGCATTGTCCTGGTGGCAAAAGCAGTCCCTCCATCTGCCACAAATCAGGCCTTTTTGTTGTTGTTGTTGCACACTGTTACGCAATCTTTCAGCACTGCTAAATAGAAAGCTTGGTTAACAGTCTGACCTGGTGGAACACACTCCAAATCCACTATCCCCTCCCATCAGAAAAACAAATGCGCATACTCTTGATCTTTGATTTCACTTGATGAGCTTTCCTTACATTGGCTTGATTGATATCTGCGTTTGGGGTCATAAGAATAGCACCATTTCCTGAATGACCTTGGGGAAAAAGGTCAGCTTAGGAGCTGTTCAGTCAACGCACGGCCTGTTTCCAGTTGACGATTTTTTTTCTGGCCCATCAGAACTTGAGGCAAAAATTTTGCAGGGACCCATCTCATTCCCAAATCTTCCATTAAAATTCGCTGAACCAAATTCCAAGATAGCCCAGATAATTTCCCCATCTCTTCAATGGTCCATCGTCAGTCTGTGAGCACAAGTGCATGAATTTTTCAACATTTTCGCCGGTTCGGGAAGTTGACCCATGTCCAGAATGAGGTTTGTCATCAATGGACATTTCACATTTTTTGAAATGAGAAAAACACTCATACACTTCAGTTTTCCCCAAAGCACTTGTCCCTGTCAGCTGTGTTCAACATTACAACAGTTTCTGTAGCATTTTTGCCGAGCAGGAAACAAAATTTCACAGCTGCACACTGTTCTCTTAAATCGGCCATCACAAAAAAATGAGGTTCAAGCAAAACTGCTTTTATGAAAAAATTCACTGTGACCAGAGAGAACCTTCCCAGTCAATGCCACTGGGTGCACTAACTCAGAGCAAGTTGTTCGATGCCGGCATAGTAGGAAACATGTACTATGGAAGCTCCGTCCAGGAGAGCTTTATTTGGTGCATGTGTGTAGGCTGTATCCCCTCATACCTATTCATCTATTACTAATATGCAAAAAATGAACAGATTACAGGTTATTTTTCTATAATTCTGGTCATGAAGTAAGGTATCTAAATCTTACTTTTCCCTTGAGGAGGAGGCCAGTCTTAGCCACCACTCATTGCTGAATAGCGCCCTTGTTCTTCCTTTTACTAAGGCCTTCCTCTTCATGTTGCCCTCCTGATTCCTATGGTTTTCCATTCCCACGTTGCTGCTCATTAACCTCGTTGTTAGGGACCCTGGGAGTTCATATCTTGCACTATTCTCCGGCTCCCAAGCCCAACCTTCCACTAATTGTCCTGCCCTGGTTTTCACTCACAAACCAACCACCTTTTATTATTTTCTGAGATTTGCTTTGGAAATTATAGGAGTCACATCAAAGCTCTTTAAGCTTGACCCATTCTGAACTTGAACAAAAAGAATCAGTGCCCATTAGCAGCCAAACCCAGTGGGCAGGAAGATTGCGGAAGTTGGGAAAGACAGGCCTAGTTGGAGTGGATTCAAAGACCTGCTGTAAAATAACAATCTGATGTTACTCTGCTATTATTATTTATCAAAATGTATTTAATGGTGATGGCTGCCATTGAGATTTGCAGTTCCTGCAGATGCAAGCTGGCAAGGATGGAGCAATTGTCTCACAGTTCCAGAATATTAGGCTGTCACACAACATCACTTATGTCAGTCTGATTCCATAAAAGAGACACAGTGTAATCAGTCAGTTATGTCACCAGAAGAAGGAGCATATAAAAATGATTCAAATGTGCGATTTGGAAACAAATCACAATTTGAAAATGGTTAATAAATGTTCTTCATATGCTCTGGAATGTGTAGAGAAGGGGAAACATGATTTGCTTCGCACAGAATATTTTTACTGAACAAAATAGAAAGGGGTTCTAGAATAGAATAAAATAGAATTGTGTGGGCCATACCCATGGAAGTCACCAATATGGGATTATTGAATGGATGAGTATGCAGAGGGGTAAATAAACAACTTAGAAGAGCAAAGAGTTCAATTTAGATCCACAAACTTGAGTGATGGGTACCTTTCAGCACTAGGGATATGATCTCTGTCTAATTGGGAGAGAAGTATAAAAATGAAAGTCAACACAGGGGCAGACACTTAATTGTAGAGTTATGAGAGTACAAAGTAGGGGACATTGTCCAAGTTGAACAGGCAGGAAAGTGAGGAAGAATAGAAATTAGATAAGGATTTCTGGAAGAATAATCCCATCAACAGAATCTGTAAGGTTGAATCAAGTTTATCAAGTGAAATAAGAAGCCAAGCGTATTTCGGACAAAAGGAATCATATTCAAAAGGAGTGGAGAGTCTCTGAAGGTACTAGTATTTAAATATTACTGAGGTGAGTATAGAACATAGGAAATGAAAGTGGAAAGGCAGGCAGGCCCTACCTTTACAAATAATTCGAAAGAGATAGGTCTTTATCCTGTAGTTAATGGGAAGCTGTCAGGGGTGACATGATCAGAATTGAGTTTCAGAATGATCCCTGTAGCTGCAGTGTGGAGATTAGATTAGAAACAGGACATGGTTTAAATCAGAGAGAAAAAGTAGGCAGTGTTTGTTATGGGTGGGCAAGCGTGATGAACAATGGATCTAGAAAGGAGGTAGGGTGGACAGAAAGAAACTGCTGTATGGAGAAATATCTAGAAGACAAAACTTCAGGTTTTGGTGATGGATAGAATATAAGAAAAGATGAGGAAATGAGAAAGATGTAGTTCAGATTTATAACCAGAACGTGACTTGGATAACTGTGGAGATGGTAAGGACTAGGGGAAGGATCTTTATTTCCCTCCTTTCTGGGGATTCCAAAGAGAGCCAATTTGCTGTTCTCACTAAGTGGGGAAAGGCTAATTGTGTCTTTATAGCCCTCTCCCCACAAGCATGTTGTTCTGAGGCCAAGTGGAAAAGTGACTAATCTGATTGGTGAATTAGGTCAGAACTTGGTAGTCAGGGGAGCAAATTTATCTTTTGAGTGAGTTTGAAGGTCATTGCTTATGTCTGACAGAGCCTTCTTATTCTTTTTTATTAAAAATTTAAATTTTTGCATCTTTTCGCACTTGCTCAGACATGGTATGTATTGGCTTTGTAATCTCCAGGTTGCAAACCCCAGTTGAAGGATAAAGTTGTAATCTTATATCCTGAGACTGACTGAGTGGTCCATTCCCATGCCAACTGTCTTAATGTTAGTGGGTAGGTGCAGGTTAATATGTCTGGCCTCAATTTCAAGAGGCCTGGTGGTATAGTGGGCTACGTATTGAGCTGCTAATCACAAGGATAGCAGTTTAACCCACGAGCTGCTTCAAGGGAAGGGATGAGGCTTTTTACATTTGTAAAGATTTACAGCCCTGGAAACCCACAGGGGCAGTTTTATTCT